AAATTATTGCCATCTTATAAGACTTGGTGTTTGGAATACACTCAGGGCAATTTGTCTGCTTGTGATGAATGAATGAACTGTTAAGCTGAAAATAATTTTTGGTAAATGGCACTTTGAGTATTTCCCTTTTATTTCTGAGATATCCAGACTCTCCTTGACAGGATATTTGTTTGCTTGCCACTGGCCAGCAATGAGCAGTCACAACAAAAAAAAAATCAGGGAATATTTGAAGATTGAATGAGATATGAAATAATTTTTTGATTCACTCGTGGGACATGGGTGTTGCTACTGGCTAGCATTTATTACCCATCCCTAGTTGCCCTTGAGAAGGTGTTGGTGAGCTGCATCCTTGAACCGCTGCAGTCCACATCCTGTAGGACAACCCACAATGGTGTTAGGGAGGGAATTCCAGGGTTTTGCCCTAGCAACAGTGAAGGAACGGCGCTATTATTTCCAAGTCAGGATGGTGAGTGACTTGGAGGGGAACTTGTCAATGGTGAAATTCCCATGTACTAGCTGCCCCTTTCCTTCTAGATGTAAGTGGTCATGTGTTTGGAAGGTGCTGACTGAGGATGTTTGAATTTCTGCGGTATGTCTTGTAGATGATGTGCACTGCTGCTACTGAAGTTGGTGGGGAGGGAGTGGATGCTTGTGGACATGGTTCCAATCAAGTGGGCTGCTTTGTCCTGTATAGTGTCAAGATTCTTGTGTTGTTGGAGCTGCACCCATTCAATCAAGTAGGGCGCATTCCGTTCCTGACTTATAGATAGTGGAGAGGTTTTATGGAGTCAGGTGGTGAGTTACTCGCCACACTATTCCTAGCCTCTGACCTGCTCTTGTAGCCACTTTATGTGGCGAGTCCAGTTGAGTTTCTGGTCAATGTTCAGGTCAGGATATTGACAGTGGGGGAATTCAGTAATGGTAATACCATTGAATGTCAAGGAGTGATAATTGGATTGATGGTCATTGCCTGGTATTTGTGTGGTGTGAATGTTACTTGCCACTTGTCAGCCCAAGCATGGATATTGTCCAGATCTTGATGCATTTGGATGCTCCTGCCTCAGTATCTGAGGAGTCTCACATGTTGCTGAACGTTGTGTAATCATTGAGGAGAATTCACACTTCTGACCTTCTGATGGAGGGAAAGTATAAAATAATAGAATTTACAGTATTCAGTTTATAAATGAGCAACAAATAATGATGGGTGTCATGGTGGCTTTGGAAAAAAGATTAAGTTTGGAGAGATGCAGAAGTAATATTTAAAACTTTTTTGTCTTTCTTTTATTCACTGGAGGAGGGTGTCGCTGGCTAGGCAGCATTAATTGCCCATCCTTAGTTGCCCAGAGGGCAGTTAAGAGTTGACCACATTGCTGTGGGTCTGAAGTCACATGTAGGCCAGATCAGGTAAGGATGGCAGTTTCCTTCCCTAAAGGGCATTAGTGAACCAGCTGGGCTTTTCCGACAATTGACAAATGGGTTCACCATGAAACTCTTAATTCCAGATGTTTATTGAATTCAAATTCCACCATCTTCTGTGGCAGAATTCGAACCTGGGTCCCCCAGAACGTTATCTGGGTCTCTGGATTAACAGTCCAGCGATAATACCATTAGACCATCACCTCCCCTAATGAGAAACTGCCATATTAATATAGCTGTTGTAGTTTGTTGAATATTTTGAGAATATTTCTACTGGCCTGAGGTGGGAAGGTACAGTTCAAGTTACCCAAATAGAATAGATACCTGTTTTTATTATCAGACCTCCTGGGAAACATTAAAGAATCTTTACTGGAAAATATAAGAATGATTTGCCTCTGCCACTGACTGAAATGACGTTTTTATTTAATTTATTGTTGCCATATTTTTACTGTGTTCCTTCAGGAACAAGCAAGAATGGTTGCTGCCCTGAACTTTTCAGTGACAGGAGGAATTAAATTTAATTACACAAAGGAAGCACAATCAGGAACACTTTCCAGTCAAGGGGGCAGTGTAAAACTGGCATATTGTCTAAATTCTTTGATAATTGAAATCATTTGACTGTCATGTGGGTAGTCAGTGGGAAACAGCATGGCTTTTGCAGGCAGATGGTTAGAGCATGTATGCAAGTCACAGTATGACCATTTTCCGCGGGATTTGTACTGATGCTTTAGAATTGCCCAAAAGCAATTTTGTAAGTCTATTGAAGCAAAACTGTTAGGTTTAAGGAGTTGGGTCATGGTCATGCATCCTGGTGCACTTTTTATAACTTTTCTCTCCAGTTTTCCCTTGGGACTAATAAAGGACAGATGTGGCTAAACATTTGTGCACAAAGCTCCTTTGTCACTGTCCACAGTGCAACCTTCAGCAGTACACAGTGTAGCTTCAGTCTGCTGACTGCCCACTTATTGCTCTGCAACCTCAGTGTTGCTTCAGTGTATTACTGTTCACTGATGCAGTCAATATTTGCATGCATTGAACAGTTTTTGGTCTTAAAGCTTGAATGTTCTCTGAAGTCAACCTTTAGGGAAATTGGTTTCTGAATAGCATGATTTTTTTTCTGCAAAATAAAAGAAACAAAGACCTGCCATTAAATTTTATAAGTAGTATTTGTTATTCAGAATGTCTAGTTCTTTGTTTTGTAAATTCAAAGGAGGCTCCTGATTAGATTTGGAAATTAATTAGTATATTTGAATTTTGCTTTAGTGACAAGCATTTGATTCATAGTTTAAGCCTGACTCCTGAGAAGTGAGGCAGGTTGCCTATTTTATACAAATTTATAGTAAGCTTTCTATTCTTTTATCAACAGTTTGTATGCATGTAGCACCTTCATAATATTAAAATATCCCCAAGCACTTCATCAGAGCATTAAATAGAAGATAGAACTGTACAGCACAGGAATGGGCCCTTCGGCCCACGATGTTGTGCCGAACATGATGCCAAATTAAACGAATCCCTTTTGCCTGCCCTTGTCCATATGCCTGTTTCTTTCTTATTCATATGCTTATCTAAAAATTTCTGAAATGTCCCTATTGTATCTGCCTCCACCAACACCCCTGGCAGCACGTTCCACACTCCTACACTGTGTCAAAAAAAACTTGCTCCTCTCGTCTCGTTTGAACTTCCCCCTCTAACCTTAAATGCATGCCTCCGAGTCTTAGACATTTCAACTCTGTGAAAAAGATTCTGACCATCAACCCTATCTATGCATCTCATAATTTTATAGACTTCTATCAAGTTTCCCTCTCAACCTGTGCCGCTCCAAGGATTACAACCCGAGTTTTTCTAGCCTCTCCTTATATTTCATGACCTCTAACCCAGGCAGCATCCTGGTAAATCTTTTCTGCATCCTCTCCAAAGCCTCCACATCCTTCCTGTAATGTGGTGACCAGAATTGAATGCAATACTCAGTGTGGCCGAACCAAAGTCTTATAAAGCTGCAACATGACATCCTGACTCTTGTGCTAAATTCCATAACCAATAAAGGCAAGCATGCCATACGCCTCCTTTACCACCCTATCTACTTGTCTGGCCACTTTCAGGGATGGACGTGAACCCTAAGATCCTTCTGCACATCAATACTGTTCAGGATCCTGCCATTAATTGTATACTTTTCCTTAACATTTGATCTCCCAAAGTGCAGCACCTCACAGTTACCTAGGCTAAATTCTATCTACCATTTCTTCGCCCATATCTGCAACTGATCCATATCCAACTGTATCCGTTGAGAACCTTCTACACTATCCACAACTCCACTGATCTTTGTATCATCTGCAAACTTACTAACCCACCCATCTACATTTTCATTCAAGTCATTTATATATATCACAAACAGCAGAGATCCCACCACTAATCACAAATGTTCAGCCTGAATAATAACCTTTCACCAATACCCCCTGCCTTCTATGGCCAAGCCAATTCTGAATCCATGTCGCCAAGTCACCGTGGATTCCATGTATCTTAACCTTGTGGATGAGCCTACCATGAGGGACCTTGTCGAAAGTCTTAGTACAACATTGCTCTACCCTCATCAATTACCTTTATCACCTCTTCAAAAAATTCAATAAAGTTAGTAATACATGACCTGCTATGCACAAAGTCATGCTGATTGTCCCTAATTAGGCTGTGCTTTTCCAAATGCATGTAAATCCTATTCCTAAGAATTCTCTCCGATAGCTTCCCAACCACCGATGTGAGACTCGCCAGTCTGTAGTTTCCTGGGTTATCCCAAATTATTGTCGAACAAAATTCAAAGCTGAGCACTTAAAGGAAGAAAGTGAGGTGGAGACATGTAGGAAGGGGATTCTAGAGCTTAGAAATTTGCACAACTACCTTTGGTGGAGCCATTAAAATCAGGAATGCTCAACTGGACTGAATTAGAGGAGCTGTTGATGGAGTGAAAATCAGTTTTTGGAGAATCTGAGAATAATTCCATGGAGCAAGTTCAAATTTTGTTTTCCTTTTAGAATGTAAGAAACTTTGGTATGAAACATGAAGTTTTCGTTGTGGGAAAGACAATTGTAGCTTGTCAATTGCTTAAGGAAAACATTTGAGGATTTGTAAGCTATCTGTACAGCTTCTGACTGCAGCTTATATTGTGTGCATTAAGAGTAAACCTAACCAGGATTGCCTGTAAATGAAGATATGTATAGTTTTATATGCTCTACAAAATAGATGTAGAAAGGATGTTTCCTCTTGTCGGGCAATCTAGAACGAGAGGTCATCAGTTTTAGGATAAGAGCAAATTTAAAAGAGAAGTGAGAAGTTTCGTCACTCAGAGGGTTGTGAATCGGTAGAAATCAGGTACCCCAGAGTGTGGACGATACGGGGACATTGAGTAAATATAAGTAGGTAATAGTTTTTTAATTATTGATGGGTTGAGGCGCTGAATCACCTGCTCCTGCTCCTAGTTTTTATATCTTATGTTCTAAATGTGGAACCAAAATCTTTTTCACTTTTTTTTTTTTGAAAACAAAATTATCTTTCTTTTGCAAAATTAACCAATGTCTTTTCCTTCTCCCTTTCAGTTTGACCACATCTTGTACCCACCATCCTTTCCATTTCGCAAGTCCAGCAATCCTGATGTTTCTTGTGGTACAGGAAAGACCTTGAAATTTAAGAGACAACTAAGTGAAGATGCAAAGTACTTGAGACGAGGCAGTTTGGGTGGAGCTTTGACTGGTATGTAACAAAAAAATTTTTTTTTTTTTAAATTCAACTGTTTTAGAAATATTTGTGTATTTATTTCCTTGTTATGTAATACATTTTGGAAAGAGTTTGTTTGCTTCTAAGCTAATTTTGTTTCATGATAGAGAATAATCTACTATAAAGATTTATTTTGAATTGAATGAAAAGTGTTGATAATCTTTGTCCAGAAATTATTCACCAATTTGCCTACTTTTGTAGAGTTTAATCGACATCTTTTCTTTCATCCAGTTATTTTGATACGATGGAATTTAGTTTGCATGAAAGTCCTAGCAAGCACACATTGATGCAAACCTTGTTTGTTTCTTAGAATAGGACAGGTTGTTTCCCCTTGTGGGAGACCCTAGTACCAGAGGGCATAATCTCCGAGTAAGTGGTTGCCCTTTTAAAAGAGAAATGAGGAGGATTTTCTTAGTGTAGAGAATCTATGGATTTCTTTATTGCAGAGAGCTGTTGAGGCTGGGTCATTAACAATATTCAAGGACAGAATTTTAAGGATCAAGGAAATCAAAGGTTATGGGGAAAAGGTAGGAAAGTTGAGTTGAGGATTATCAGATTGGCCATCGGAAATGGTCTAGGATCACAAGTTAATCCTAGCTCTACCTCACCTAAAATACAGTGAGGTCTGTTGGTGTCTGCAAGCCTATGAAAACCCAGATCAAGGTCCACTAATTCAGCGTGCATCTGGAATAGAGCACTCCAGTGGTACTGTTGTACTGCTGAGAATCATGTTTATTGGGTTTCTACTTCTACTTTTTGTGTAGAAAACTGTTAATCATCTGAATCTTATTGAGAAATTCTTATCTGCTGATATTTAAGGGATGTCGAAACAAAAATTCAGATTCCGCTTGAAAAAATGCTTTGTGTTTTTCAAGAGAAGTGTGTTCCTTGCTTGGATTGACCATAGTCAAACTTTCTTTTTAAACTTCAGGAAAATATCTTCTTCCACCTGCTTCTACACAGCTTTTATGGCAACAGGCATTGGAAACGACAAATCTTGTTCGCATGCACAGTCAGATACTGGGTCAGTCAGCTCCTTCTCTCACTGCTAGTTTGGTAAGTGCACCTCCTCTAGCTTTTGTACATATCTGAAAAATGTAATAGCATCACCTTGGTAAAAAGTAATAGAATGAACCCGTGATAGGTTTACGAAAGTCATGTAAAATAACATAGCATCAAAAGCTATTCAATTTATTTATTTTCTATCTGCTGTTTTCCTCCCTGGGCCACTACTGCTTCTTAACCACATCATCCACCCCTTCTCCGATTTATACTCACCTAAGTGGTGAACGATACCAAAAAAAATTCCACTTCTTTGTGAGATGTGCACGTCTATTTCTCGGCATTTCAGGAAAGAGTTTGAAACTTTGTACCGATGGCATTGGTGTGAACTTACATCGTGTGTGTGTGTGTTACAGTGGCTGGTACATTGCTTTGCTGACCACTTGCACAGAGACTGCCAAACGACAGCTCGGTGAGGAAACTTCTAAATTATATAAATTTGTCCTGTGGCTTGAAGAAAAGTCACAACAAGCCAGAGTCTTTGACATTACAGGAAATTGATGAATGCTGTTGGTTGGTAATACTGAAATAAATGAATTTCATCAAAGGTGCTGCTTTAAGGAATTGGATCCAGATGCTGAAAAATGTGAAAAGAAATGGACACCTCAGAACCTGAAACAAGTGATCAGTATCAATAGAACATTATTTAATTCAATTTCTTTAGGTCATTTTCATTTTAACTGGACCTATTTCATATTCTTTTCTTTGTTCCTTTTTAACCTTGAAAACATGAAATGTGAAATGCATTATTGTTACTTCATCCAACATTTTTCCAACATCTTTAAGTTCCTAACTGTAAATGTTGGCAGGGGAAGCATTTCTTGCGTGCAGTTTTGGTTCAAGCTTATTTATTTAGCCCTCCATCAGATCTGTGCTGATTATGCCCAGGCTAAATAAGCTGCTTGGATTCATGTGACCTGTCACTTTCTGGCCTGATCTTGGCCGTATGGTTTCAGAAAATAACTTCAAATTAAAGCATAAAAGTAGAAGAGCAGGTTTGAATGAATGCACTGCAGCATTAGGGTCAGAAAGGTCTCGTATACAGTGACTTAACATATGGAATGGACTTGAGTAGCAGAAGCAAACTTTGAAATAAATTAAGCAAGAATTTATCGTGGCGAGGAGGGGGGAATCTGTAGGGCTATCCTTGGGAAGAGAATCTTTTAATGTGCCATTGAAAATCTGAAAAGATGCAAGATTTAAAATGGGATCACAGTAGGAACGCATGCTGTAGGGGATAATGTAAAATCACAGAATTGTACAGGACAGAAGAGTCCCTTTCCTCAAAGGATCAAATTTGCTCTGGGTATGTTATATATTGGGTTCTTGATTCATATTTCTCCCTTTAGCTGCTAGTGGCATTTTACTGCTCTGACAGCCGTTTTCAGGCTTGTTTACCCTATTACTGGCTATAACTGACTTTTTGAACTTGGTGTTCCTGTGGTTTATCAGTTGGCCTCAATCACATTAATCACATCCAGTTCTGGGTATCAAGGTTTCAGAAAGATGTGAAGGCATAGAGAAGGTGCAATTGACCGGTTCCATAATTTTGAGGCAGTGTACCTAGTTATTGCTACTATCTTTTATCCACCAATTTGTCTTTGTTCTTTTTAAAGTCCTACGCAATCCTCTTTACAGTTCACAATGCTTCCAATTTCTGTATCATTCACAAATTCTGAAATCATGCCCTCTACGTAAAGATCTACGTCATTTTAAAAACTGGAAGGGCAATGGTCCCAATGCTCTCCACTGTAGAACTCCTAACATGAAGATTCCTCAATTCCAAAAAAAAATTCATTTATCACTACTCAGTTTCCTATTGTTCAATTAATTTCACACCCTTATTGCTGATTTCCCCTTTATTCCGAGAGCCATGTCTTTTTGTCCACAACACTCTTGTGCAGTTCTGTATCAAAACGTTTTGGAAGTCCCTGCACACTGTATCAACTACATTGTTCTCCTCAATATCCTCTATTACCTCATCAAAAACTCTAGCAAATAATCACTTGGTTTTGCAGAACTTGAGCGATGCTGAAAACAGACACATTTTTCGTCAAAGCTTTTTGCCTTGCTCTCAAAGTACCTGTTCAAGGACTAAACCAATACTTAGACTGCATGAAAGGAGAGTGCTGATTGGTTGGCAAGTAGACTGTCATTGGAAGCGAGATTGATCTAACGAATGCACCAATTAATGCTGATTGATAGTTAACTGCCAGGCTTTGTTTATGTTTTAACCAGGCGCGTCGACTGTGACCCTGAGAAACTGGTTTCTCCTTCCCTTACGAATTGTCCTGTTGGGAAAATGAACAGCTTCTTCAAAATGTTTTTCTTTTCAGCAGTACTAAATTTCAACAAGCTAATTAAACATGATTAATGAGTATTTGTAAACAAAAAGTGGAACATCCAATCGGATCAATTTGACATACGGGGAGGGAAAATATGTTTGACTAGCATTATAGTGAACATACAAATTAGGAACAAGAAAAGGCCATTCAGCCTTTTGAGCCTACTCCACTATTTGAGGAGTGTATATACAGAATAACCTCAAAGTGCTAACAAATCTTGCCGAGCTTCAAATGAATGCCGAATTGTATGTCGTATATATGTAAACTATGATGCATTTAAAGTGATTGCATCTGGAAACTTGAGACGAGTCAACTGGTAACAATAGAATGTATACATTTCAAAAATAATTTTCTTCCTATGTCTTGTCTCTTTTTCGGCTTTCCTCCGTTCTGCCTTCAGTACATAAATATAGATAATGAATTGTGGTATTACTGTTGACCATTTCTGAACATCTTATTCAAATTTTATTGTGTTCTGTGTTTCTTTTTAACTCAATAATTAATATTTAATATTTGTTGAAGATTTTTCTGCCTTTGTTCAGGAAATAAGCATTTAGCAGTTATTGAGGCACTGTACCCGAATCTCTGGTTTCACTCACTAAAGTGTTGACAATTGCTGCACCACTGAAAGGAAAGCAGTCTCCCACACTTTGTTGTCATATCCTTAAAGCAATTTACAAGTTAAAGAGCAAGATGCCCTGCCTGCTTATTAAAATGAAAAGTGCTGGAAGTACTCATCATACCTGGCAATTTCTGAGAGAAACACGGTTAATAAAGCTTTGAGTTGGATATGATTGTTCGGAACTGTTCTGAAGAGAGAAGAAGTCTGAAGAATCATTCATAATCAATCGAATATGTTAACTCAAGTTCTCTGTCCACGGATGCTGCCAGACCTACTGAGTATTTCCAGCACTTTGTCACATTTCCAGCATCCCTAATACTTTGCTTTTATTTGCTTCCTGGTTTTGTCTGAAGCTTGATCTGAGAAACCTGAAAACAATAGCCTACCAAAAACCTTGACTAAGTGTCAGTATCTGCCCAAAACATGCCAAGAACCTGAACTATTTCATGGCTGCACAGAGATACTTTACTGGGTTTGAACTGGACAATGGAAACCCTGAGCTGACAGTCAGTGCAGAGGGATGATGTAGGAATTGCAAAACTATTTACCTGAATATATTTTTGTGTGATCATTTGCTCTGTGATTTGTCTTTAATAATATACAAGCGAGTTGTTTTGACTTTGGCTTCATTGTACACCTCAGTTAGTATTAAAAGTTCAACTTGAAATCATATATGCCATCACACTTTGAGCCTTCAAAACGTACTTACTTTTTGATGCAGCAAGCATTTGACTTTTCTCTAATAAACCTTGAAAGTGATGATGAGCTACCTTCTTGAACTGCTGGTGTAAGCATAGCATAGTTCATAATGGAAATACAAGGCCATTCAACCCCTTGAGCCTGTTCTGCATTCTAGATCACAGTTGATCATCTACCTCAGTGCCCTTTCCCCACACTATCGCTGTATCCTTTGATGTCATGATATCTAGGAATCTAGAACTTTTCAATGACTCAAGATTTACAAGGATGTTGCCAGGGTTGGAGAGTTTGAGCTATAGGGAGAGGCTGAATAGGCTGGGGCTATTTCCTGGAACATCAGAGGCTCGGGGCGGGGGGGCCCGAATAGAGGTTTATAAAATCATGAAGGGCGTGGATAGGATCAGTAGCCAAGGTCTTTGGCCCAGTTAGCAGAGTCAAAAACTAGAAGGCATAGATTTAATGTGAGAGGGGAAAGATGTAAAAGGGACCTAAGGGGTAACTTTTTCCCGCAGAGAGTGGTGCATGTATGGATTGACCTGCCAAGAAGGTGGTGGAGGTTGGGACAATAACAACATTTAAAAGGCATCTGGATGGGTACATTAATAGGAAGAGTTTAGAGGGATATGGACCAAATGCTGGCAAATGGGATGAGATGAATTTTTAGGATACCTGGTCAACATGGACGAGTTGGACTGAAGGGTCTGTTTCTATGCTGTCCATCTGACTGTATATGGCTGAGCTTTCACAACCATGGCCTTTTAGGGTGGAGAATTCCATTGTAATAGATTCTAATATTTTCCCTGCTACTGTATAGTACAGGCTAACTGAAGTGGTCCACATCCAAATACAAAAAGATCTGGACAATATTCAGGTTTGACAAGTGGCATGTAACAGTTGCATCAAACAAATGTTGGGCAATGACTATCTCCAACAAAACAGAATCTAACCACGGCAATGGCATTGTCCTTGACTACCCCACTTTCAATATCCTGGTGGTTACCATTGATCAAGAGCCAAAATGGACTAGCCATTTAAAAACAGTCGCTACAAGAAAAGGTCAGATGTTAGAAATCCTGTCGGGAATAACACACCACTTGACTCCCCAGAACCTGTCAGTAATCTATAAAACACAAGTCAGGAGTGTGGTGGAGTACTCCACAAGTTAAACCAGTTCACTTAACTTTGGTTAAAATTCTCAAAACAAGTATTCAGGACAGAATTAGTAATCATGTGGAAAAAGGTGGATTTATTAGGAAGAGTCAGCTTGAATTTCTAAAGGGAAAATCATAGTTGACTAACTTGCTGGAATTTGTTACGAGATAACAAAA